AAATGAATATTACTTTGCATGATAGGTAGATAACATGTGAAAACAAAAAAAAGATATGAGAAAAACATTGTAACATTTACTGATAATCTGCCAAATTTCAATAACATTTGCTTACTAATTTATAAGTTATAGCATGAAAACTATAACAAGCACAAAATGGTTACGAAGCCCGTGCTGAAAGAGTTAAATTGAGCAAGACTGCTGAAATAGGCTTACGTATGATTCAATACATATGAGAACAATAAGGATGTGACAGTAGGCAAATTCATTTCTGCTAATATACCTTAGAATTATCCCATTACTGGGAAAACAACTTCCATGGTAAAAGTTTATTGTTTGGCCATCAACTGTGGGAAAAAAATCCTATCATATAGACCTTTTTTGACTTTTAAAATGATATTTGCTATTAATTTAAAAAATATTACCAGTTACACAGTACTATTTTATTAATATTTTTAAAATACACTTCTATAGGTTTGTATGTGTGCCTAGAATATGTTGCCTCTGTAGCAAGGAATTTTATTTGTTGTGGGTTTGTACATGTGCCTGAAATATGTTGCCAGTATAGAAGGATCTTTTTTTTTTAGTTGTTGTTGTTGTTCTACAATGGCACTAGTTTACATTCTGTATCAATAAGCCAAACATCTTTGTGATATTCTTTACTAATGGATGTTAAAGTAAGTATACAAAGTTTATGTACTTCTTTTCAAAACGTTGTGAGGTCTAAGTGCAGTAACTAAAGTTACAAGAGAAAGCACGAAAGAAAATAATACTTACTATGACAAAAATTGCATAAAATACGTTTATGCTTAGTATTATTTGGGTTGATCATTTTTCAACAAAATCTTTAATGATTTACTCAACTTGAGCATTTTAGAGTATATTAACAAGGTTGAGATTTGACTCTTCAAAACCAATATTCCGATTGGCTACTGACAGAAAATTATCAATAGCCTAATCATAAAGTTATGTATCCAAATGTAGTGTACTGCATGGACTGTGCCTGTTTTGGAATTATTTTATTTATATAATAAACTATTATCATGATTTTGAAATGATCAAAAATAGTCAACAATATATCAAAAAAGGACCACAAAGACAACTACCTTTTATTAATGACATGTCAAAGTTACTGGTAAAATAGTTTTAAAAGATTTTGTAAGAACATGCATTCTTTAATAGCAGCACAGCCCAAATACAACTCAAATGATGTTTTTAGTTGGTGGAACTGTATGGTTTTGAGTCTCATTATACCTCAACATTTTGATTGATGCTATGTTAGGCACTGCAAGTTTCTACAAGCTAAGACTACTATTGTTTGCCTATCCTAATTTGTATGGCATGACATTGATATTGCTGTAGCCTATGATTGTATACAGTAATTACGATACAGCTGTACAGTATGTGCAATTGAATCACAAAGGTTCATTCACAATATTTTCTAATGGTCAATGGTAATCAGTGTAAATTGATCATGAAGAGTTTAATGTGAACTGTGTATTAAGATGAGTATCGTTTTTATCTCAACATACTGTCTGCATAGGTTTCAATGTTTTTCTGTTGTTCAATTGCAAATTATAAGTCAGTCCAGCTGCTACAAATTTAAGCCAGATTCTGTTTCACCTGTTGTATAAATATGTGTTAAACTATTTGTACATGAAGTAAAGGACAGTGATGATTAATTTATAGAATAAGAAGTCTTGAGATTGAAGGGTTAGTGCCATGTTTTCTATTAGCATTAAAATTTATGCTGTGTTCTTAATTAAAATGATTGAAAACCTTGGTAGCATTGCAGTTATGATTTTATTATTAAGAAAATTAACATTTGGGTCTATTTATTTTGCATGTTTTTCAGGCCAAGCTTCCTTGAATCCAGTACACCATCCCATGGCAAGTACTGGGTCAGGCCAAGCAAATTTTGCCCCAAGTCCACAGGGAGCACAGTCCCAAGCATCACCACAACCACCCCAACACCAACCAGGAGGGAACTATACTCGGCAACCAATGGGACAACAGCAGCAGTATGGGATTCCCCAGAGTAAGTTTAGTTTGAATATTTGATTACCTTAAGTCTGTTTCAATGTTATTGATCTGATAATTGTGTTTCAAATATTTTTCTTCATTTAATAATGAAATGCTCACATGTAAACATTGTATTCTTTGCATTTGAGTTTTATTTTTAAAGTAGATCACCGTTGGGGCAGTTGGAATTTTGTTGTGAATATAGTGTTGTTTATGTACATTTTGGAATTCAGAACAAATCATTTGGGTTGAAAATATGTTAAACAATTTTACTGTTTAATTAGTTCATGCATGGCAGAACCAAAAGATGCATTTTTTGGTGACATTTGTTTATGTACAATTTGGTATTGGACTAATCCATAAGGACAGTTTGGAATCCAGAACAGATCTTTTGGGTTGAAAATATATTTAAGAATTTTACTGCTCAACTGACTCATAAATGCATCTTTTGGTTCTGCCATGCTCGGTGACATTTGGCATGTGATTTGGAATTCATAGACAGGTTAACCTTTGTAACCTATGAATAGATGAGTTTCAAACTATTTTTAATTAGGTTATATTTCATTTAATTTTTCAAGAACAAAAATGTCAAATACTGATATATTAAAATTAAACTGCCAAACATTTTAGTGATTAATTTACAGATTTAAAGTATGAACTTAAAAATAAAAGTATGGGAAAGTATTTTTTAACTTGATTTGAATTAGGTTTTTATTTTGTTTCTTCTTTCAGAGAAGGAATGCAATATTTGACAGTTGCTTGTATTCTGAAATATGATATTAAGTTTACCAGTAAAAAAAACTTAGTTCTGTTTCTCTCATTTGCCCATGTCATACATAAAGAATCACATACCATATAAAAAGACTAGACAAGCTTTAACTCTTTCAGCATGAGCTCGGTCCTTGGGACCGACCTCGTAACCATTTTGTGCTTGTTATAGTTTTTATGCTATAAATTTTTCATGCTTTTAAATTAGTAAGTGAATGTTAATGAAATTTGGCAGATTATCAGTAAAAATTACAATGCTCTCATACGTAAAATATAAATTTTTTTTATTAAGTCTTGAGGTTTGTAAAGCAGTGTTTTCTCATTTCTTTTTTGCATGTTGCCTATGTGTCATGCAAAGTAATATTCATTTTATGATTAAAAATACTTTTATGCATCAGAAAATTTGACTGATCTCCCTATCACCATAAAACATTAGGAAATAAATATAAATGTTACTTCTCTAATTCTAGAATGAACACAAATTATAACATGAAAACATAGATGTTTAAGACTAACTAGTTTAAATCTGTATCAAATAACATAAAACTGATCTTTGGGCTGTACAAAGTAATTTGTCTTGGCTGTGGTTTAGTAGACTAGTATTTTGTAAAATACAGTCACATAATATATGTATATAGATTATTGCTATTTTTAAATAACTTCTTAAACTTGTTTTTCTTAAAACATAGAACAGTAACTAAAGAAGTAAAGCAAACAATTATCTCTTCTAGTTACAACCTTTGTACTTGGTTACTGCTTGATGTAGGTTGCTAAACCTTTAAAAAAATTGTATGTGGAGGATATGAAACAAAATATTTTTTTTAGGTTTGACTAAAAAATCATAAATTACTACATTAATATCATAGAATTCCACTATAATTTATCAAGGTTAGTAACTAAGATTATTTTAGTCTAAAAAATATGAAATTTCGAGCAGACTAAAAACAGATTAAAAAATTTGCATGTGGAGGATATGAAACAAAATATTTTTTTTTAGGTTTGACTAAAAATTCATAAATTACTACATTAATATCATAGAATTCCACTATAATTTATCAAGGTTAGTAACTAAGATTATTTTAGTCTAAAAAAATATGAAATTTCGAGCAGACTAAA